CTAATACTTTTATATGCAGTTGTACGTTCATTTAGGAGCAGAGCCCAATATTCAGATTATAATAAAGTTCTTTCTTGTATTTTGGGAAGCAACAAACTATAATAGTGAGTAATGTGGCCATTTTTCTGCTTGTGAAATTGATTACACATCTGAAACGTTATTTATACTGTTATTAACAGTATGTGGCGTGAATTGGTATTATTTTCGTAACCAAAAACAACCCAATCCTTTACTCTTTATTACAATATATTGCAGCAAAATTCTGCTAAATTTGAGAGTTTTGACACTCCACTAAGGTACTGATCGTTCAGAATATTGATCGATAGTTTTTTTCACGTTTGTTCTGATTCTGTCACACCAAGAAAATAAATCGTCGCTGACAAGTGGGTCCAATTTTATACAGCCACTTCAGCTAAGCGTCTCAAATTAAAGCGCGTTATCTCATATAAAGTCATTGATTTTCAGGATCATAATTTACTTTGGCTTGGAATTAATTTTTTACCTCTGTGACAGAAGAGTTCTGGTGAAATTATCTCAAGCTTGTATTGCTGAATCTGTTCAAATAGCAACACAAGTCTTAACGTCTTTGAAAAGGCGATTACTTGTTTGAAAACCTTGTTTGAGTCATAATCCAAAATAAAGACAATAAAGTACCCCAATGATAGTATCTCAATATTTATTTAACAGTTCAAACGATGATTTTAATCACAATGGCACTGGACAAACTTTGATAATGATTGTTTTATTAAACTAAAGAGTCTTGTTTCAAAAACAGAATCGTCTTCAAAGACGGACACAAATAGTCTAGTCATCGTAAAATCTTGGAATTCCTCTGGCATTTAACTAAAACGCGTGAATATAAGATTAAATTTTGCAATCCAAAAACCATGCAAACTCTGTTAGAATAAGAGGTTGAGTATTCCTACATCTTGTTGCTGGTTACCCTTAAGACCTGCATCCGTGCACTTCCGACGTGATTGGTGTTCTTTATCAAAAAGCTAGAGCTTTTAAGAGACCAATGCTAATAGAAACAGAAGGCTTTCAGTTGATTTTTTTGTACGAACACCGATGCTTATCATGATAATGGCCTAATTTTCCCGGATTACCAGTTTTTCTAATATCTTTTGTTTTGTGATCTTTAACAATGTTTTAGTTTGCTCTATCAAGCACGCAATTGTTGTGTCATATTTGTTCTACATTGTCTCCATAAAAAACAGGAAAGAGGAATATTGGATATAATAATACACTTAACATCGATCTGCGATGTCCTTGATTGTTTGGGTAAAAAAAAGACTGCGATATGTGCTTGACTTCTGTATGATATAGTCAGTCTGCAGATGTGCAAGTTCTGTAAGGGCTCTGGAGTAATTTAGGTGCCATGTGAAAGCCATTTGATAAAAATGCGTCCAGTTTAGAAAAGAGGCGTTTACCTGAGGAAAAGTCATAGACCGTCCTACCTCATTGACGAATGATTTACGCTAATTGGCGTCAAGAAATTAACCAAATTCGTTTAAATTTAAACAGAATAGACTTACAGCAAGATTTTATAATAATACAGTGTACATGTATTTGATGATGAATACCCCCTAATTAGGAGTATCAAGATACCCGTTACCCTCTAATCCTGCTGTTGGGTTGGACCTAGGACTGTCCATACAAAAATACATCCTCTTTCACAGGTGTCTGGTCACTGTCTCAGCTTAAAGATGTCAAGGAGGGGTATTTGACTGCGAAGATGAATTATAAACATCAGATCATACACAAACACACTCGAATAACTCTACTTAAAACTTGATTTGCATTGTACACAGATTTTTGAAGCTCTGTAATTCGCTTCGGGTATTGTTGCTAACATTATTAATTCGAGATTTCTGAGACATGCACCAGATCCTGTTCTAGTAAAGCCCGTGGATTTTAATTATCTCTGGAGGGGGTCGTCGGTAATGTAAATCTTGCAAAAGGATATACGACATTGTTACGTGACGAAATTTGAAACCAGGACCGTCGAGAATGCCTTGCAAGAAATGGTATATCTTTGAAAATATATAATAAAAATTTGAAACAGAATACATTTTTAATTTATTTTCAAGATAAGTCTGAAAATATAACTAGCGGCGTTTATATAATGTTTACAGAGTTAGCAGGTTGTTTAGCATTCTGAATTTGACATGTATATTGAATAAAGACTTATTATTTGATTTCATTCAATTAATATCTTTGTGTTTGCATAATCCTTTTCCCAATCCTATAAGTCACACACTTTTATTTATCCTCTTTCGTAATTCTGCATGTAGAAAGGCTTCCCTGAGACGTATGTTAAGACATTAACTTCGTCAAAATGTAATTTCTGTTTCTCCCAGAAAGACTTTTATTTACAGAAAGCGTGCTTTTCACATGGGAGTTTTCGATAGCAATATGTTTTGGCAAAAGAACCAGTCCGATAAAGACCTGGCCTTTCTTTAGATCTGACGCGTGGAAAGCTTTTACGACAGGAGAATAAGTTCATCAAGTTAATTATAATTAACTTAGTGACAGGTAAACAGACAATATCAGTTCTTGTGTTTACGATTTTGCTGTGGAAAACCTTGAGTAGGGTTTCATGTGTGTCTACAATGGTTGCTCAAGAATTTACACTTTGATGGTTCTTAAACCATCTGCAGACAAAACACCGAATTAAGAGCGAAAAAAATATACAGTTTAAGTAGTTTTGAATAAAAGATAATTGGGCGTAAGAACAAGGAGTGAAATGAAGTACAGTGTATTTGAAAAAAAAAAAAACAAAAAAAACAAAAAAAAAAACAAAAACAAAAAACAAAAAACAAAAAAAAAAAACAAACAAAAAAAAAAACCAAAAAACAAATCGTGTGTTTTAGCAACAGAACAACAGCAAATACATTTAGAAGGAAATTAAAACATGTATCCATGAAAGTGACTATCTTTTTACACAAATGATGTGATGATCCTTAAGCTTATTTATTAGTTTTGATAGTTTCAACTTTATGTTTAATTTGCAAGCTTTATTACTCAGCAATATTTTAACATGAGAGTAAATAAACACCGATTTTTGTTCTGCGTATATTCGATAATTATTGATTTATTGAATTTGGACATACATGTATAAAAATATATCATGTTTGATATTTCAAAGGATATTATAGGAATTAATTACGAGATAAACATCTCCCATTTGTTGCATTGGTTTACAAAAACTTCAGAAAGATTGTCAAGATACTTTATTAATGATGTAATGTAACGTTAATTGTACCAGGAGCTATTGTTAAGAAACAAATTACTATAACGTACAGTACCAGCGAAATGACATTTGACATTGAAAAACGACTACACTAATAATCCTCGTTAGTGACTTCACAATAATGGGGTCGACATTGACACAACTGGTGACTGAATTCAGATTTCCCGTGCGATCTCTTTTGGTGCTAGGGGTACAGATATGATATGTGGACTTGTGTTCAGCATATGGCCCAAGATTATGGGGTGATTACAATGGGTACGTGACAAATAAAAGTCCTTGAGCTTGCAGCACTTGTTTAACCTGGCAATTATTTGATTCTTAATAATTATTACACATGTCCTCTTATTGGAAACGTTCATATTTTAGTTTTTTGAGAATGAGGAAACGGTATTGTAGTCGCTGCTTTAGCACAGAAAGAAGTAGAAATTTACAAATTCCCTTTCTACAAAACGATCAAGAGTTTGCTTTAAAGTATCTTTGTGTTATCATTTAAACACAACAGAAAACTCTTTTATCTGTCTGTTGATACCTGTTGATAGAGTTTTCCTAAGAAATAATTGTTATCGCTGGAATGGCAAGAATTTGTTCTGGTATCACTTTTAGATACAACGTGAAGTCATATTTTTAGATCATTCATCATTCATGGCAGAATTTAAGTTCTAAAATCCATTGTAGCGATAGCTCTTTGTATAAAGCCTTACGGGAGTTCCTCAAACAAAACTGAGAAATAATTTTGCATGCAAGATATGACTCCACATGCAGAGAAAAGCATGCTAACGTCAAATACCATCACTTTCAGACGTCTTAAAGTTTTAATCTACAAGAAGCTGATGAAAAGCCCCCACACCAGTGATGAGTTGGAAACAGATGGCCCGATAGGTATGAAGGTATTAATAAGGTTTCCTCAAGGCATTAGTTCCTCCAAACCCCCCGACAGGCGCTATTGTCTGTCCGTTTTCTAAAATAGGAAAACGGATGACGAGGAGTGGAAATAAATATTTAATTCCATGTAACTAACCCAGTGAACACCTGTACCGAAAAGAAAGGATAACTTTCTGTCGAAACTTTTTATCATAAAGTTCGATTCAAGCACCTGCGATATTATTTTCCCCCTTTTAAAATGATGAACTTATTCAAGGAGAAAACTCTACTGTTGTTCATTGAGAGAAGTCTTTACATAGGAAAAATATTCAAATCACGAAATAAAAGGATAAAATTTGCAGTTTGATTGGTCAATATTGCACTTTTCGTCCTCTGTAGGGTCAGAAACTACTCTGTTTGACAATGGATGAATTCATATAGCGTTCATCTAGGAAGACCTGTCAATGAAAAAGGTCTTCTTAATGATTTGAAAGAGTGCCATGGCGTTTACATTTAACGATGAAGCCAATCAGAGCATGTGTGAGAACATGTCATTAGATCCATTCTGCACACTGCATTTTGTTATTTCCTTTGCAAATTGTCACTTGAAGGGATTTACAAAAGAAATTCTTAATCCGTGTGGGCGTCTCATTCTTAAATGCTATTCAAATTTATTTTGGACAAGTTGTTATATAAAAACGTTTCCTCTTTATAATTGATATGACCTTTGTTGAACTTAAAACATTGTAATATTATGCTAATGCCGAGTCCGACTTAATAGACAAGGAGAATTCAATACGGATAATCATTAATATTCTTATTTTCTGAAATCAAGTCAATTACGTTCTGAAAGCAATTATACTACAGAATTAAAATTAGCAAGTCCTTCACAAGTTATGATATTTTATTTCATTTTTGTACTTTAAAGTCAGAAAAAAAAAACAAACAAACAAAATAAATACATAATGCATTCAGCCATTCCACACTTACGCTTCTATTCTCTAACGATGCTTTCTCTCAAAACTGCTATACATTTACACTTTCTGTTTCAACTATAACAATCAATACCTCATTACATATTTACAACTGCCATTTTGCTTCACAAATAACAATGTAAAAAAAAAATACAAACAGAACACAAAAACGGGCAGTATTAAGTTCTAAATTCGTGGTGAGCGCCATTAAATGCGACACCATGACTTATTGCGTAAAATTCTTTCCATAACAATGAAAAGATGTTAAGTAAGCCATGTTTAGTGTCTACATCAAACAATTATCTTCCTGTTAATAAGTTCTGTATCTTCACACCATGAAGTCATAAACATAAAATAAAATAAAATAACAAGCAAGTCTCCATGGAAAAAAATGACAATCTTCCGCCCGAGGCTGACATATAAGACATGTCCGTTCTCAGTTTATGAAGTCAGAAACAAATTAAGTCTCGTCAAGCGAGGCTTATCTACTCAAACAAGAAGAAAGCCATTCAGTGAATGAATGTGTACATCAAACAATTTGTACAAGAGAGTCAATTTGAATTTGAATTGCCAATGTTTGAAATTAGAAACTATTTCCAGAAACAGTCAGGCATAGATGAATTCAGTATGTAAATAAAAAATAACTTATGCTTCAATTTAAAAGAAAGTTTTATCTTAGTCAAAGATCAAACAAAACTTCAGTTTCTTGAAAAGCTGTCGTTACAATTGTTTCTAGATGAAAATAAGCAAACACATAAAAGCAAATATATTACCAATGTCGATGTGTACAGAGGTTTTAGCGTAGCATTATGGTAATTTCTAACAAAGACACGCCAACAAGATGAAAACTACACAGAGGACGTCTTGTACAAATTTAGGGGGGTTTAAGTGTTTTGGTATTGATTTGTCTAACAACAAGGTAACCCCTCCATTAATATTTCATGGAGAAGATATACATGTATATTGATAAATTGCTGTGAATAATACATAGCAACAATGTATTCATATAAGTTACAACTTCTGAAACTGTTTTTTTTTCTTCAAAAATACATTAGCAAATAAGTAATAAAAGTCAAATCCAACCCCCTCCCGAAAAAAAGTTTAATTTTGACTGTCTTAAATTATATGTCACCGAGTGTGTAAAAGATCCCTACTGCATTTAAATAAACCAAACTGAATGCAGTCCTACTCAAATACTAGTTAAGAGTGAATTTAGAACCAAACATTTACTTCTGGTAAAAATATATTTGACATCAATTCAATGCTCAAGAACACTTGAAATGTAATTCGAAGCCTTATATAGCCGATCTATCCTGGCATACGTGTATATTGAAAATGTAGAAACTGTCTGCAATGTCTTCCTAAAATATGCTGAAAAGTTCGTGTTCTAGATTTACAAATGGGCGAAAATTAATGCAAATCATCTTCCGCTTTTCAGGCGAAACTTTACTGCTTTATAATAAAGGATCGGGCAAATAATGAACTTAATTCTCAGAATAGCGTGAAACTCGAAAATTGTCTTGATGCCGTCGTTTGGATGTTAGAACTTAATGGCAGTTATTTTCAAGTATCAACTAATGCACATCTACACGTAGATTAAGGAGCTTAAACTCCTCAATTAATAGAACAGACAGTTCGTCTTACATCAAGCATATCTGAATAATTCGGATAATCTTATCTGTCGGATAATCCACTGATTTGTCTCCATTGATAAGTACTGGAAAAATTAAAAATAAACTGCAAAAAAAAAGCAATTAAATAAGAACAATGTACTCATATCCTTACTCAATCACATTAAATACAAAGCTATAATTATTTGACTTCTCAGTTTACATAAACATTCTTTTCATGGAATAAGTAATAAAAGGCTTACAGTATTTTTCGAAATAATTGCGTAATATTTCTGAAACTAAGTAAATACCAGCATTATAGACGAGTAAAATTTCTTCTTATGGTCCGATTCCTATCTTGTGGTTTATTACAAGTTAATTGTAGAGCTTTAACCTCGTTTGTCCCCCTATCTGTGTTTGGTTTGATGTTATCGCAAGGGGAGGGTAAGGAGACATAATGGATGTTCTTTTTGTATAACAAAATAAAGCTTTCAAATCAAAATTTCAGTATTCATAGGAATGTAACTTAACCACAGCGTGTGCCTTAGCTAGCAGTGTAAGAGTATCCCACCTTGTAATTTAAAACTTTTTTGCATCTTTTCATACCCTATATTTCGTAACAAGTATTCCCAACTGAAAATTAAAGGGTGCTAATGTAAACAACTGCAAACAAGCCTCTACTTTACGAACGCTTTGGGGTAATGAATTTTGAAATAGATTCCCACGAAATTACCACAAACTAAGTGATTTCATAAAATGACGTGATTAGATCTGATAAAATGGAATACATTCAAGATTAATGACACGATCGGTGTCCAATGAGAAATGTATTGCCACTGGGCTTCCAATTTGTTCCTAAACATACACAGTTAATTAAATATGCCTGGAGTTTCTGCAAATACTTTTGCTTGCACAATCAAGAAGTTAAATCCACTTTTGAAATGTTATCTTTGGTAAAAATTGTTCTTTGTTTTATATGGGTTGAGAAAAAAAAAAGAAATAGCACTAAAAAAATGCAAAAATCAATAAAAATTCTTTGTTTTCATCCATTGGATTGAGGACAAAGACTCTTCCACTTATTCAGGTTTCAAAACCCCACAAAAAGGCGAGAAAATTCCTTTTAATATTGCACATGATTCTCCTATCCGTGAGGTGAACTTAAGGTTAAGCTCGGCTCTTATAATGACAGTGCTCTCCATCAGAATTTAGTATTAGCTCACAATTCACAAGATACAAAGCCATCTTACACTTGATTATTCTGAAGAAGCAGCTTTTCAGCAGGCGCGAGGTTCGTCACATGAGGCGATTTCTCGCCAAATGTCGGTGGGTGATCGCGAAAAATCTTTTCATGATGACGGTAGAATATATGAAAAATGACGACACATGCAATGAGTGTGAGTACAAATGTACCTACAACAGCGCCAATAATGTCCACTACAGAGTACTCCGAAGACTGATCAGGGGGCGTAACTCGGCGCTCCATGCTCATCCCTGCTTTGGTAGCATTGATAACATAAATTGTGTCTTTTTCTTTCCCATTTTTGCCCGGTTTGGTAGATTTCGGAAATACCGGTTTGATATATTTCTCCTCTGGTTTTATTGGTAATGTTGTTGAATGTGTTGTTGGTTTAAGGGTCTGCGGTTTTTCTGGTTTAGGGGTATCGGGTATCCCAACGTCACGTGGGTAGTGTGTGGGCCAGAAAACGTTGAGGGTGAGAGTAACGTTCCCAGCTGGATTGCTGGCAATACACTGGTATTTGACGTTGCTGACTGAATGGGGATTACTTATGTACATAACTCCCTCGTTGTCTTTTACATGTACAAGATTTGATTTTGGGGGATACGTTTGGGACGTATTATCTGGTTTTATCCAGTGGATAGTTGGAACTGGGTCTCCACTTGCTAAGCATGTCAACTTACCGACACTTTCCTCAAAGATAAGGTCCACATTCTTAAACACGGGAAGTTGACATGCAAAATCATCTTCAGTTAAAGAACCGAAGTCTTTTCCCCTTACATTGGCCGGGGATCGACACGAAGGTGCCTCCTTTGATGGGATTTTATTCTCGGTACTCTGGTCCTTGTGGTAGTAATCGAAAAGCCATTTCATCTCACAATTGCAATGAAATGGGTTGTTTCCCAATCTTACGTGACTTAGTTTACGGAACAAATACAACCACTCGATTCCAAAAGACTCGATTTTGTTTTTATCTATCCACAACGCCTTCAATGTTCCATTCAATGGCTTAAAAACTTCAATTGCAAGATTAGAAATGGCACATTCATGGATATATAATCCCGTTGTCCTTAGGCCTCCAAATGCATTTTTGGACAATTGAATACCCGGATTGTCATTTAAGAACAAATGCTCTAAGGTTAAACCTCGGAACGTATAATCATCAATAGATTTAAGTCGGTTTTTACTTAAATCTAACCACTTCAGTTTAGGTAGATCTGCAAACGTATCCAATGAAACATATTCAACTCCACATCCTTTCAGGAAGAGCTGTTCCAATCGTGTATAAAATGAAAAATTGCTTCTCTCCAAAGTTGTTACAGAAAATGGGTTGTCGTTCAAGTTAAGTTGTGTAGTATCGGCAGGTATTCCATTGGGTATAACTGGAAGGTTTTTCCGGGAGCAGTAGACATTTTTGGTTAAAGAAGGACAGAAACACGCTCCTGGACAATAAACACTATTTGCATTTGTTAATAATAATTCCCACAATAGGAAAATCCACTGTAAAAACAGCCCGCTCCAAAATTTGAAATTACAAACACGGAACATGGTTATCCTGAATTGAACCTGCTATCTCCTTCATTGCTAATCGACATATTTCATTTAAACATACTTCTCCTTTACGACTGAACGTGTACTACTCCTCTCTACACATTGTGTATGCTTCAAGTGTGTGCCGTATAGATTTTCTACGTAGCGCTGCTAACGCCCTCTGTTGTCAGTTGTGGGATTTAATATATATTCATCATGCGCATAAGTTCTGTTTGCCTCAGAATTGCCGGATTATTATGTATCAATTACAGTTAATATTCAGCCCGACATCACCTGCTAGAACTGTTTGTGATTGTTAGTTTCAGCCACGCCCTCTGGGAAACACTATAAAAAAGAAAAAAAGAAAAACTGAAGTCAATTGAGATGGATGATTTAATTATCCAAAGACGAGAAGACGATGTTTTGAAAAATACTGACATTTATTTCCAGAAGTCAAATTACAAAATAACTATCCATCCGCTTCATTGGTCAATAATGATATATTCATAAGCTTATGTGATGAACATGTATATATAAGCTGCTAAGTTCACATAAATTACGTTCAGTACTACACCTTCATTTTGAATGCATATCGTTCAGGTGTGGGAATTTTTTTATTGCAATCTGTCAGCCGCACAGGTGAAAATCAGGTATAAATAAAAAGCATTATGATTTAAATGAGGCTGATAGTTATAAAAATTCAATTTTCATTAAAATTGTTTGTTACATCCTGTTAGAAGGCAAATAGTATCGAATTCAATATAAATAAACAAACGAAAACCCCAAACTACAAGTTTATTCAATCTATATATACAACGCATTAATTTTGTTTAAATATATACTTAAGTGCATTTCACAATTAACCAACAGAATACACAATGTACTGTGATTTAAACTATAATTATCAAAAAATTAAATCGTTTGATGTATCAGAGCACCAATAAAATTTAAAGTCGCTAAATTGAAGTACACATATATATTTACAATCTCCCGTAGTTGGAATAAGCTGCGTAAACAAATCAATCAATTGATGATACTTCAAAAGTCTTTAAGCGTATTTTTTATTTATTCAGACAGATAAGAGTTATTATCAAAGAACACTAAATAATATAGTATCTGGTATGGATCCATACAAGGCGTAAAGAGATCAGGATAAAATGGATAAATATATGTATCAAAGTGAACGGTGTATATAGTCGAGAGATATACGCCGAAATGAAATTGTACAGTACCTTACTGAGTTTAGCCCTGCAAGATTTATCGTCTTCAGTACTTTCATATTGACTTTTAACAACATTGTATATATCCCTTCTTCAAATACACAGAGCTAATGAGATTAGTCGATGTTAAATGTTTAGCTTGAGGTGAGTGGACGACCTCAAAATTTTATTTTATCCGTGAACATTACACAATTTTTATATTGAAAAGATCGGGAGATTTGGGAATTAATCTACTCTCAAGATCCGAAAGGCTTGATTTTAAGGTATTAAAAAGCCAGGCGTTATAAATCGAAATATAGTTATGCCATTTTAACAATAAGTGCAAGTTACCTGTAAATTAAGAGGATGAAAAATCCCATGGAAATTCTATTGTCGTCGGCTAGACATTTTAATATACGCTTTGTAAAAGTCTAAAATATACATTAACACAGGGTGGACACGTACGATATCTGTCTTGTGTGGTCCTCGGTATAAATGACTTTAGGTAGATACCTGGATTTATTGGTGGACGAACGATCGCTATAATTGATTGGTAATTGAACGACAAAAGCGGACTTGTTTGTCAATTGCAGGATTTGTCGGCGTTTTACCCAGCGGCTCTAAGATGTACAATACCGATATTGGAGCAGCTTGACAATTTCATCTTTCAATCTATTGATGATTTTGATGTATAATATTTCAATCACACTCGATCACGCATTGAAAGGGGTTTGATCGATTATCTAGAACTTAGTAATCAAACTTGTTTGGAATTATGCCGTCATACATTTTATGGTTTTCCTCGAATTATTTTCTTCTTTGATTTTTTCTATCCCGTCTCTTTTTTTCAAAATAAGCTATGGATTTGATTGATAAAGGAGAAAATTGTTATTTGATGTTTACACACAACAGAGAATACTGATTAAGTGATAAATCCAATCCGTGATAAAGATGACAGGGTTGAAAGTGAATTTCTGTTTAACGAAGTCAGAGAACATATATTTTAACAAATTTTCATACGAAAGGGTGTATGAAAAGTTTCCCTGCTTGCTTGTCTGTAATTAACCAACATGAAACAAATGAAATTATCTCAGATATCTATTAAAGATTTGTGCTACATGTACCTATATACTCAGTAATAGAATTATGAATATGAAATTAATCTTATATAATATGTCCCAAATGAAGCTTTTAATAATTAATGTAAGAAAAATTACACTGTGTTGTCATTTATATCAAATGTCACGTGTCTTCTCATTAAGACGATACTGTGTATATTGCATGTACAGGAATGATTAAGGTAAAAATGAACGGGATTTAAATCACGAAAAATGAGTTCTGTCAAACTCTTAATATCGTATGGTTTATGAAGAGCGTTTCAGTTTACCACCGGAAGATAAGGTTACAAACGTCCAAACCACAATTAGTAGATCTCCTTCTCTATGTAAGAGGGGGGTCACTTACACTTACAGTTAATAGGCTCTCTTAAAAGTTTGAATTGCAGAGACTTGATTGCCAACATACAAGCGCAGATGTGCACAATATTTTTCCTCGAATCTGTTGTAAAACTTGTCAGGTTGTGCTCATTTGTGTTCATACATAGAACAGACATATCATTAATTGTTCTTACTTAAAAGAATTAAACATTACATCACTCTTTCAGATTTGTCCTATTAATAATTGCAGTCTACTTTCTGTGACTGTATGCTGCAAAGAAAAATAGAAGCTTAAAGTAGAAGAACGTATACACCAAGATTAACTAAGTGAACCTATTTTTCATTTGCAAGGAGGGAAACAATTTACTATTTTTAAGTGGAAATATCCCATTTTAAATGAAAACTTTCTTTCAAGTCACTCATTTTTTATTGCATCAAAGAATCTCATTACGCTGAGTGCAAACAACCATTGCTGCAAATTGGAATACAGAAATCGAGTTATCTTCATTGCTTTTATATAATTAAAATGTAAAGAATGTCGATACTAGTAAGTAATTTTGAAATGAAAAATAGATATAAGCAACTATTACTGACATATATGATTAGAGCCTACAGGAGAACGACCTTGGCTTAGATCCTTGCGCTCTTCATGGGCGGCATCATCCAGATATGAAAATGGACAAGAGAGTAAGTATCATCTAGAAATTGTAGCAACAGGTACTAAAACCCGTTTTATATCAAAAACCTTCTTGATCTTCGTCCAAAATGATAGAAGTAAACATGTCTGCTGGTTAACGACAGACGTCTGCTTCTAGTGGATGACCGCCAGAAAGAGCACGTGCAATATGGCGATGAAAGGGATGCTCGTCTGTTTACAATAAGAAGTAGCTCTATCTTCTCGTCTGGTCAGAAAATCTGTTTTTCTGAAATAAGCATATTTAAGCAGTATATGTTGTGTTTAAAGATTCAGAAAAATAGACAAGCAAGACGTTTCTGACAGCAAATGAGCGGGTGGTGAAGTTCAGAGAATTTTCAGAATCTTTCAAGACGTTCTAAAAAGTGTTTTAGATAACTTGAAATTTATGAAAGTGTTTCGTGGGGAAGAAGTTTTTCCGTTTGACAGCTTTATGTGCTTCAGATTTTGAAATAACTTTTTATAATTATGACGGATGAGTCAGTTAAAACCTCCAACATTTAGATTTATATTCTTGTTTGATGTGTAATTTTTTTTGCCTGATAACGACGAAATCGACACCTTGAGCACACAAGCATGATCTATCCCCGTCAGGTAAACAATATTGCCAACTGTCAACCCCAATAAATGCACGGTGTATGTGTTAGGATGAATGTCATAGAAAAAATATAAAATATGAGATCCAGTCATCAGATTCTTTTAAAAGCATGGACAGAAATGAAAATATTTTTGCAATCTTTTCTGTCACTTTTCTGAAGATCGACACTGAATCATCAAGAAGCTTTGCTTCGAGATTTTTCTTCGCACTCATTAACACCCATAGTGGTTATTCTGGTTGCTTTTTCCACAACATATTACATCTTCTTTTGGAACTTTAATTCAATGTTGACAAAGAAAATGCTAATCAAATTATAAAATCTGTTTTCTCGTTCGAGTGAGTGCCAGAATCCTCAGCGAGTTTAATTTGGCTGTTGTTAACATCAGAATTATACATCCTGCTATTCTGCCATGTTGAAAAATTTAAAAAAAAATTGCCAAAAATTATTGTGCTGTTGAAAGAGGAAGGGAGTAGTTTACAGATACGCATTTATTGCGATGGAGATTTTATCGTTAAATGCATTTGAATGTATTTATAGTGCTTGGATGAAAATAATCTGATTAAAACTGTTCATTTATGACCAGTCTTAGCGTACATTTATAACAAAAACCTTACATCCTAAGAGATATATAAGATACAAACACCAAAAAATTAAATAGTATATTATATCTATCATTATTTCATAATATTATCCCCCTTTTATATATTACTTCATTTAGATTTTACAATTTACTGGTTTTTGTTTTTTGTTTTTTTTCTGTTTTATATTACAAGGTTATCCTTTATTTTGTCCTTACTGGCTTTATACATGTACTCTGTTTTATGTCATAAAGATATTGGTATTCAGTACGTACATGTATATAAAGTGTACACAATATATATATAGCTAATCAGCTATTGAGGAAAATTATCGCTTACATTTCCTCTGTCGGTTGTTAGCAGTGGTCGCTGAACCTATTACAGGGAATAGTATACATCATATGTAACAGGCCTACAATAGTTGACCAAGTAAATCATCAATGAACTTGAGATGAACTTAACAAAGATATGTTAAACGAGTTTTCCGTACCCCTGTCCCACATATACCCAAGACCCCACTCCACTTCTTATACACTACAGTTTGAATTTATTTAATAATTTCAGTGTACTCCATATGCAGTAATACAAACAAAGTAAACTGAAATTACTGTGTTAAATCCATTTTTATAGTGTATTGGATAAAAAAATATTTCTGGTAAATATTCGATATATGGCAAACTTTTTTTCTTGCTGTATGCTTTAAAAAAGAATCCATATGTTATGTAAAATAAAGTACATTTTCTTGCCTTATACAAAATTGTTTCTCATACCATTTTGTTTCTCTGTCACATTATTTATTTAAAATGAAGTGTTAAATAACAAACATCATACTCATGAAAAACGATCAGACGAATTCTTCAACTGCAATAAATGAAAAAATTTTTTTTTTCTATTTTTTGCTGAAAATTGTTCAGTGTCTCTTTTACATATATAGCGAGCTTATTGGAAGAGGGAAGAGCGATAACCTCGGCAAGTGCACGTGCAAGTACAGGCCTGTCTCACTTGTTTTTCGAAGATTAATTTTTTTGCTATAATTTTTCCCCTCCCCACCTCCATTTTTTTTGTTGCAGTGATGTCAAACCCTGTCACATAATTTATCTAATTTTTTTTTTGGTAAAAAAATAATAATGATAAATTAAAAAAAAAAATACAAAACTGATAAAACAAACAAACAAACAAACAAACAAAGAACAAACAAACAAATAAACAAACAAACAAATAAATAAATAAATAAATAAATAAAATTCAATTAGATAAAAAAAAAAATGGAACCATGCAGTTTAACCTCCTCCTCCCCCCCCCCCCCCCCACACACACACATACATACACATTAAACACAGTCCCACGAAATATGCTTTTCGAGTTGGACAAGATCTTCGCTAGCCAAGGGTTAAAGAGGAGGGGAGTGGATCACAAACCCTTAGCTAGCGAAGATGGCTGGACATATTCCTGTTTTTGGGCTTGGCTTGCTTTTTTTTTTCTTCAAGTAACTTGTCGATTATTTTTCTGGCTGCATCTCTCTCCCACTTTGAAAAAAAAATGCTGTCTGTTGGATAAAAAAATTACATAAAAATATATATATTCAGAAGTGTCTAATGATTAATAATTATTTCTGATAATTTGATTATGAATGAAAACATACCACATTGGATAGGAGTAAAAAAAAAAAAAATTATAAAATGAATCTTGTTATTTAATAAAAAACGTGTGGCACTTCTCCTGTTTTGTAATATGCAAAATATACATGTATTAGAGATGATCATGAAAATATCCTAATGTAAGTGATACAAATTTCAATAAGTAACATCAGGGTAAGTCGAAAGAAACTAAGTAAATACGAAGCATTTTGTGGACAACTCCATAAGTTCCCGCCGAGCCTCGTTATCAACTTTACAACCGCAACGAGGGGGAAGGAAAAGATTCTGATCGTGATGTCGCGCTATTCAAGGCCTCCAAACTCTTCTTTATACGTCAGAAATGTTCCATCAAATGAGAGGTTTGTTGTTCAGTGAATTTTTTGTAGCTATGACTACAAGACAGTGTTATTATTCACTTTGCTTAACGTTGTCTAAACGTTTTTCAGTTTTGTCCGCCATGATTGCAACTGATATTAACTTAAGATAGACATACTATCTCATTGTCTTTATGAACAGTAAAACATATATTTCAAATTATTTCCAAATTCTGCAACATACTTTTCAGTATAAAATTTCCATTTGGAAGGGTACAAAACCAGTGTGGACAAAAGGAGTCAATGAAGCCCTGAAATATGTTGATTTATAATATTTTTAATTATATTTCATTTTTATTCATTTTTTATTTCCTTTTATGTATTTATAATCATGTTAATTCTTATTATAAAATTCATATATAATATTATTCACTTCTTATAAGCATGAATATTTTTCACGTATTAGAACCGCGATTTTAGATCGGGCGTGGTATACGGTATACCACGACAACTAGTAATGGCGTCCGATTTCTGTCGATTCTCGGGTAAAATTGGCTAAAAAAATGTACGGATAACACTATCATCCTAGTAATCACAACCTAAACCCTTTTTGTATCCCAACTCATTCATTTTTATGGGGATTCTACGTTTTTGTTGGGGATTCTTGTTTCTGTAGCGGGATTCTCCCGATATCCCGGGATTCCTGAAAGTCCTAGCACCCACTTGAGAATGATGTTTGAATTTAGGCTTAGTTTTCAAAGACATTGGATTATAACACTGATTTGATGAAAACTCATCAGTGACACTTGCATGCCGAGTGTTGCTGACGTATTCCAACTTCCAACTTTTATTGATATTAAACAAGTGTCTTTATATAACAGATTCACATATCATTGACTGATATTTATTGTAAAAACAAGTAGCTATAGTTCATATTTTAAAGAAGACTGCTTTTAAATACTATGAAAAAAAGTTAAATTTAATGATGAAATGTTTCGAAATTGATAATAGGGCAGAGGATATGGCAGAGGAATTGCGTGCATTGTTTGGTAAATATGGACCCCTAACAGATGTCTATGTTCCAGTAGACTATTACACACGGCAACCAAGAGGTTTTGCATATGTACAATATCCTTTGAGAGCTGTTTGTAAATGTTGGTGCATGTTATTGATATTATTTCTTGTTTTTCTTTATCAGAGTTTACAGTTGGTTGATGATGGTGTTGCGTTTCAAATAAAAGTAAGACAGTTTGACAAGGGTCTCTTATAACAGAAAAAGGCAAAGAACTTGTCAAGCTAAAGGCCTCTCACTCAATTGTACAGACACAGTGTGCATGCCCTTTAAAGACTCAGCGGTGGCCACTGAAAAGACCAGACTTGGCACTGCTTCTAAAGTCAAGGCAAAGACAAGACACAGTGTGGTCTACTTCGCTTTTACATTGCAGCTGATTTGATATGAGGTTTATAGACAAATTTCATATTGTATTAAATTTTGAACCCTATTAATTCAACTGATAGTTCTTAGCTAAAAACAAGGGTATCCAGGATCCTTTTGCACAAATGCTGGAACTTATTTGTAACTGTGAAGTTCACAGAGTAGCAAGATAAACAGACAGCTTTAACTATTAGAGCACTTAAGTGTTTGTGCAAATGATTCCTGTTTGATGAAATGTGGGATAAATGAAAATATAAATCAAAAGTTTATAAGTATTATTTAATGATAGGTGGAATTTTTTTTTTATATGGTGACAAAGTTTTTTTCCCTATCCTTAATTTTTATCACTTGAATAATGAACTATATGTATTAATAATAGTTAACCTGACTGATCAAGACAAAGAATGCAAGACAAGACAAGTCACAGTCTTCATTTCAATCACAAGTCAGGGCCTAACAGATCTGTCATGGAATGCTTATAAAGTAACACAGAAAGCAAGTCAAAGCAATCAAAGAACAAGTCAAAGAATTCAAGTTAAAGAAAGCAAGTCAAAGTACACAAAGAGCAAGTCAAGTCAAAGAGTAAAGTACAAGAGAGCAAGTCACAGAACTCGCAGGGCAAGTCAAAGAATTCAAGTTAAAGTCAAAGAATTACAAGTCACGGAATGTCAATTTACTCAGAGGTGGAAAAGTCATAATATATGGGTCCTCTATGATCAAGCAACACTTTAATACTAACAAATTGGCTTTACACATTTGAGGCAAAGTCATCAAATATGTAGATGTATCCAATCTCTAGTTCAGCATGCACCTTGATTGTCTTTATGTTGCTATGAACCAGCATAAAGGTTATAGTTTAATTGATGATTTGTACTTACAGAAACTTTTTACTTAAAAGTTTGATTTTTTTTTCACTTTGATAAATTGTGAGAATCCTTAACAAGATTCAAGTTTGAAGATTCTCGAGATGCTGATGATGCTCTGTACAACTTGGATAGGACCAGGTTTTTTGGAATGGAGTTGGAGGTGGAGTTCGCCAGAGGTGATCGTAAAAGTAAGATTTGATGTCATTTTAAAATGTTTCCATATTTCATTGTGGGAATTATCTTGTTTAGATGCAGTCCTTTAAATCTTTAGCATGGGAACAATGTCCTTAAGAATGTGATAGTCCTTAAGGTGGGATAGCTTTGAGGTAGGGATAATGACTATACATGTTAAACTTTTGAACAAAACTTTCTTACAGCACCAAACCAAATGAGGTCAAAGGACAGGGGTGGTAGAAGAAGTTCACCTTACAGAGACAGTCACTATGGTGGAGACTATGACAGAAGACGAGGCCGCCGAAGATCTAGAAGCAGAAGTCCAAGGTAGGAAAGCATTCATGAATATTCATCAGGTCATACATGTAACTCATAAATATGTAGATTTCATGACATAATGAATATAAATCTCTTCAACTTTTCAGATTATTTAGTTTTTAATAGCTTGCATATATCTATTTCACCCCACAGATACAGGTCAAGATCTAGAAGTCCAAGAAGAAATCGAAGGTTAGAGAATTTTTTGCATTGTTACTTGAAATGCATACAATTGTACTCTTATGAAAATGCATGTCAAGAAAAATTTGAGTGTTTTTTTTTTAAATTGTTTCTATATGTTTAAAAGATAAGTTTTAGTTACAATTTTGGATGAATTCACTTGTAGAACATAACTATTAGGGGTTTAGAAATCAATATTATATAAATCTGTGAATGAGAATAAGTCATAGGTGGTTGTCTTATTTTTTAGGAGGAGTAGATCAAGAACACCAGAGAGAAGGTATTCTATTGATACGCTTTCTTATATCAGCTAGATGTAATGTACTCCAGCATGCTAGAGGTTCACGGCAAGATACTCTTGACTTGGCGCTGCGTAACCTCTAGTATCCATTGTAAAAATTCAGAAACTACATAAACATGATAAATGAATCCATAATACCAAATACTACTCTGACTTATCGACCTGAGGGAAAGCATATTCACCAAGCACAAAGTATGAGAAAGTTTATTTATAGACAAATTGTGTGGTCATAAAATTTGTGTTTTCTCTTGTGAAATGTGTAATGTAATTCATTACTTTAACAAAGTAATCGTAATTTAATTAATTACTTTTCTGAATGAGAGTAATGTAATTGTTATGGTAAAAATCTAAAGTAATTGTAATTTAATGCATTACATTTCAAAGTAATTGACTCCAGATCTGTCAGAGGGGTCAACTTTTTATGATTTTATCATTTATAATATTTACTTGCAGGGCTCAACATTAACTTTTCAACACTCAACAGACTAGACAAGTCGGACTAGTACTTGAATTTTTTTTTTAATGCTTTATTTCTGTGTACTTGATACAGTTAATACATTTTAAATAAATTGCAAAGAAATTTTTAATACACACACCCACTTCCACTCTTCACTCATACTTACATAAAAGTACTTGAAAATTTTCCTAGACCTGACCTCAACTTCACTAGATCTGACCTTATTTCCATGAATTGTTGAATTACTCGATTAAATGTTACTAATATATTGACATGAAAAAATGGAATCGTCAATGTAAGCAAATTGATGGTTATCGTAAGTAGGTTCTTTTGTAGATGCAGAAGAATTCAAACGATAGAATCAACTTTTCAGAAATTCTTAAATATATGAACTTTGAAATATTTTTACACAGGCAGTCGGGCTATGTAGCAATCGCTAATGATAAAACGCCCCTTAATGATAGAAATATCATTAAGCATTGCAATGCAATGCTTATTGTAATCAATTATTGCATTTATAGTTGACATTCTTAACCACTTAATGATATAATTCTTTCATTAAAAGGTGATTTTATCATTAGCGGTTGAAAAGGTCAACTATTGATGCAATAATTTATGATATTAAGCGATGCAATTGCAACACTTAATGATATTTCTATCATTAAGTGGTGTTTTATCATTAGCGGTTGCTACAGGGCTACCTTGACGCAAAGTGAAGTAGACCAGACCAAACTTTTACTAGTCGGTCAGACTTGCCTTAATGTTGAGTCCTGATTTGTTGTATATTTTTAACTTTGATGTGTGTTTACTATGCTGATAGAGGACTATAAATTTCAGGAGGAGTAGGACAAGAAGTCCATATGAAAGAAGGTAAACATCCATTTTCTCTACATGTCTTAATGCTAGCTTTATAAAAGCATCAATTTACCTGCCTTGCCATCTGCATTTTCAGTTTAAGTCTTTCCATTCATTTAACCGAGTGAATCGCTTCTATTTTATTTGAAATTTTAGCAACAATCAACTTTGGTAATTGCAGTTAGTGATTACAACCTTGATTTATCTTGACCATGTTTGATTTCCTGTTAGTAATATAGTGTTGTTTATGTATGCATTTAAAATGTTTGTTTTTTTATTTCATAGGAGAAGCCGGTCCAGAAGTCCCTATGAAAGGAGGTATGTGTATTTATCTATCAGATCTTGGGCTAGTATCACAAAGTTCAAGATTGTAATGCAAAAATGCCTTGCCTCATTAAAAATATTTTTTGCTAATTTATTATAGCATTTTAATTTAGTGTCATTATTTGTAGAAGATCCAGGACAAGAAGCAGAGAAAGAAGGTATAGTTTTCACAACTGTGAAGAGCAGTATTATAAAAGCTATATTTGTATTTTCAAATGAATGCCAGTTTTACACATTGGTAAAGTGTTGTCATATAATTGCAAGAATAAATACCAACAGAGTATTTCTTTTTAAGTGTAAATTTTTGTATCTGTGTGTAGCCTGATAGAATTTTAAGATGTGCTTATACATTTGTAGGAGATCACCATCACGATCCAGATCAAGGTCGTATGAAAGACGAAGAAGTGGCTCAGGAAGAAGGTAGGTATTATGCCATTTTGTTGATTAATTAATTTTAATTTTAAATGTAAGTTAATTGAATTTATGCAATTTTGCAACAGATCAAGGTCATACAGTCGCTCTGTGTCAAGGTCACCAGGCCGTGGAAAGGAAGAGTCCCCTGCAAGAAACGGTCACAGTCGTAGCAGAAGTCGAAGTCCCCCTCCAAGTGCTGACCATTAAGATCTTTGTGGCTTTGAACAAGACTTCTTTTAATTTTAAAAGAAAGACACTGTGACATAAACATGTATTATACTGGTGAACAAATGTTTCATGTGACATTAGCATACAAGATTTTACTGTTTGGGTTTTTCTTCTCACTTTGAATGTACTTCGTTGCCATAATAATGATAATGATCAAGCCAGCATTGTTTTTTTTTCTTTATATTTGTTGTGGAAGTGAATACAAGATATTATTTCATTTTGTATCCTTAAACAGTGAATTTTAGATGGATAATGTATAAAGTTGAATGCCTGCATAATGTGTTCCTGTGTAGCACAGTTTGCATTTTTAGGAGATGCTTGCTTTGTTGTGCCCTTCTTTCTGTTTTATAACTTATTATATGTTGACGATATTGAAGTATGATTTTACCTTGGCCAAATAGCAGATATATGACATTCTTACTTCATACATATTGGTCTAGTATGTGTAATTAGTTTTTAAGCATTTTAATAAAATTTTTCCTAAAAAAAATAAAAGTTTAAATGTACTATTTCAAAATATTTGTCTGTGGAAAATTGATAAAGCCCTTAATGCATGCAGACACTTTTCTTTGCAGACTCTTTAACAATGGACACGATTTTGAATGTTCAAAATGCAGAAGATGAGGAATTGTTGATGAAATAAAAACACAATAAAGTGTACAAAAAGTTAGTTTAAATAAATAAATAATCAGGTATGAGATACGATAACTGACAGTTATTAGGAATTAACTGGAGCTAATGGAATCAATAGAAGGCACTATGTTGTTGAACATATCTTGTACGTAGGAGGAGAATGTGTGTGTGTTTATAAAGGACACTTATGATTGATGTACTCAGATGAAGACCTGTTTGGCTTGTCAAATCAGTTGTAAGCATTGTGTCTAAGTCCTATGCTTGTCTGCACAATTTTTTATGAACATTTTCAATTATTACAAAATTGCAGTATTCTGCGCAAAGTTTACTGCAAGACATAGCTGATGCAAATTAATTCTTAAATTTTCCCCACCGGATTTGGGCATTTTGCATCTAGACAGATAAGACATTTTACTGATAAAAGCTGTATTTTATTCATTGATGGGACCTCTTTTAAATTTTAACAGATTCTTTGAAGGCATAGGACATTTCATTTCTGGTGTGCTTGAGTGGGAGTGATTTAGGAAGGCCTTACTGATTTTCAAACACCTTTCTGCTTAGATGAATTGCTATGTGTTGAAACTAAAATGTGAAAATTTTTATTTTGGCAAAGCTTGAAAAAATGTCTCGAAAAGTTTACCACCTGCTTGAATTGGCAAAATTTTAAGTTTCAATTTAGGTACGACAATAATAATTATTATGCTACAATAGAACATTACTGCCATGGCCGTAGGAACCGGGGAAGGGGAGGGCGTGCCTCCCCCCCCCCCCCCCTCAATAATATTGCCGATATAAAGAATACTATAGAAAACATATTTATTATATGCTTGTGCCACCTCAATAATAACGTCTGATGACCCTTTTTTTTTGCTTAAGAAATTTTGGTACTTGATAGTGCCCCCCCCCCCCCCCCCAATTGAAAATGTATGATTGTGCCCCCTCAAAGTGTTAAGTATTTTATTTGCCCATTTTTAGGTGACCTTTTGCTGTCTGTTATCGTCTCCGTTGACATATCGTCTGTTAACATTTGAACATTTTCAGTTTCTTCTCTGGAACCGCTGATTTATTAAGCAATTTTTTCATAAAGCATCCATGAGAGAAAGGGAACAAATATTGTGATATCATAGTCATGAGGAGTGGGCTAAAACTATCAAAATTAGTGCTATCTTAAAAATCTTCTTTACTCCTGGACATAAAGCAGTCAAGCTTTTGGCATGATTTTAATAAACAGGCCCGTAGCAACGGTTTCAAAAGGGGGGGGGGGGGCAACTTCCTAAAAAAAAAAAAAACCCAAACACCTAATTTACTGTCCAAATCCTGGAATTTGCCAGTGATCGACCTTAAAACAACGAAAAAGTGTGTGTGTGTGTGTGTGTGGGGGGGGGGGGGGGGGAGTGGCAACCAGCATCTAAAGGGAAATTTACTATACTATACTCAGAAAAAAGTGCCCCCCCCCCCCCCTGCGTTCTACTGGCCTGCAGACAACAAAAATGCCTATCGATAGACCAATAATTAATCAAATGAAAGTATCAGCCATACCCATATTAAAATTTCCTATATATGATATCGGTATATTCTTTCTGGAAAATATTAACGATTGCTGCTCTCTGATTAAAATTGAAAATAAACGTTAAAGATATACACGCTATATAAACGCGATTTTTTATGTGAAACAATATGATTAAATGATTTGAGAATCATGATGTGTAATAAAAAATAATAACTTTCCACAAAGTTTTACTAAGTCGTTGTAATTACACTATTAAGCAAGATCTGCAATTAAGAGTCAGCCTATTCATGAATATTGATGAAGGAAGTGCGTCAACAGTATATAGACACGCATGTCCGCGGGATATCATAGACAACGAGGTACGTTGCATTTTGACTACGATTTTGAATAAAAGTTTATATCTGTCATTACAGAGTAGATGGTTAATACTTGTTGTTTTCAAAGATAAGAATCTTTAAGCATAAAGCGTATGCCATGCATCCATGTCAAAAGTCATTTTGTATACCAAACGGCCTACCTCGTTTTCTTGACGCCATTTTTGTTTATCAATCTAAAAGTAGCGACGGTGTCACATGATGCATGAATTTAAATACAGGCATTACTTTCCTAGTAGGATAATAAATAATTATAATTTCAGATCTTTATATTGCTTTCATTTCTAATTGTGTATTTTACAATATTTTCGTAACTTTGTTTGGTAAACAAAATAAATAAATTTCCAACTTTATTTTCAACTGACGCAAGTTATAGCGTGTATATCTTTAATAAAATCACGTACACACACCAAAGTAGGCTGAATTTGACTCTTTCTTTGGTATAAACCACATGCACTTGTTTCTGTAATAAATTTTTGACCCATAGTATATAATAATAACACAAGGTATCCAACTCCGAATTACACGGAGTACCCCCTCCCTCAGAATCGCCATTTACAATTTCAGAGGACATGCACTGGCCAACTGTTTATACCTGTGTCTTCTACAATAATTTATCTACACAATCTAATATGGCATGCTTGTCTTTATTAATTTTTCTTTTATCTCCGTAAGCAGCGTCAAACTCTGCTCGCCGAATGGAAAAGTCGAATTCAACGTGCTAATCCCGGACAGAGAGCAAAATTTACTTTCGCTATAAGTTGCCATACGGGGGCATCAGTGTTTCACAAACACATCTGTTTAATTTTGCTCTCTGTCTGGGATTAGCACGTTGAATTCGACTTTTCCATTCGGCGAGCAGCGTTTTGACGCTGTTTAAGGAGATAAAAGAAAGTAAAGACAAGCATGCCATATATGGTTGTATAGATAAATTGTCGTAGAAGACATGGGTATAAACAGTTTGCCAGTGCATTTCCTCTGAAAGTGTAAATGAGTGCGATTCTGGGGGAGGGGGGTACTCCATGTAATTCGGAGTAGGATACCTTGTGTTATTATTATACTATGGGTCAAAATTTTATTACAGAAACAAGTGCCTGTGGTATAAACCGGTATTCAGTCATATTCGATGTAAATTCTCTATAAGAGTGGGGTTTCCGCTCCGTTTTGGGCATTTGGAACTACTCAGTCTAAGAGACTATGGAATTGGGTCTGTTGAAGTTGTTGAGGAGCACTTCTTCTGACAGCGGCTGTAGAGGCCGATTTGCACTGTCTTCTGCAGCCGTCAAATGTGTAAACTGGTGCACTGACAGGTTCGTCTTGATAGTGTTGATGGCTGGGGTTTCTTTTAAGTCTTTCTTCTGTTGCCTGATCTTTTTGTCTTTTTTCACCCACAGTCATTCCTTTGGGAACTATGAGTTTCCAGGCTGTTTTATTTGCAGTATGTACTTCCCAGTTGTTTGTATCAATACTGCATGCTTTAATGTCGCGTTTGCAAATGTCTGTAAAAAGGAGGTGAGGGCAACCTATCTTGTATTTGCCCGTCATCCATTCTATGAACATGACCTATCCAGCCACGCATCTCTGATGAAGGAGGGAGTACATAGAAGGTAAACCTGTGTTTAATAGTAAGTCGCAGTTGGTGATTCCGTCAGGTGATACCATGCAAGGACGCGCAAATATCTCATATGGAACACGTAAAGATGTGTATAGGTTGCCAAAGGGCCGAGTGCCGATGACACAAGCTTGGTAAACTTTGACTTTGTTGGAGAGGGTCAGGTGTTCAGTGTTTTCCCAGTTATTTTGGATAGTTTGACAATAGTTATTGCGGTTTACTGATGCTTTTGTTGATCTTGGTGTTTAGTGAGATTTGTAGCTGTAGAACCAAGATACTGTAAACGAAGTCCAGGTTTTCGCCGTTGATGTTGACAGTGGACGGCTTTGGTGTTCCTTGGCCAATGATCTGAGTATATTTTTGACTAAAAGCCAAACTGATGAGATGGCATATGTTCAAGAAATTGTCCATTAGTTTCTGCAGTCCGTCCTACATGAGTATGAGAGGATATTGCTGTGTCATCTGCAAACAGTATCAGACTTTTCTTACATGTACCTTGGAGCGCAAATGAGTAATGTTGAAGAGGTCTTCTGTACTTGTGTAGAGGTAGACATCATCATTTGTTACCCAAAAGCAAGTTTCAGCAGGAGAGCGAAGAAGGTGCGTGGGGCTAGAACAAGCCTTATAGAAGTCCTCTTATTCACTCAAACACATCTGAGATGTCGTTGTCAAACTGCACAGTGCTGAAACCGCCGTGAAATGACTTTTTTTGAGCTCAGCGATGTAGGTGGACAGCCAGTTAAAGAGTAAGGGACAGCATCGTGAAACGACCGTCTCTACTTATGCTTACTAGGTCGAACGCCTTGGTCAGATCACAAGTTATTGCCCTAAGACTTCTATTTTTAAAAAAAAAAAAAAAAATTCCGGATTTTCCTTTTAATGTGCTGTAGCCAATGATTTGGTTTTTTGCATATGTCTTTAAATTTGATGACTTAGATCAATTTTGAATTTCATGTCGATTAACCCATTTGAATCGAAAATTTAAAATATGAAATTTGAAGTATAATTAATGGAATTCGATTATAAATTGAAG